TGTGTAAGTCTTGAAGTTGAGAAATATAAATTACCTTTTACTTACTTCTTCCAATTAGTGTTGTCCTTCCTAACAAGCCTTAGCCAAACCAAGTTAGTAAACCTCTCTTTCCTCCAACAAAATTAACTAACAGGAAATATTCCTTCCTTGGTATTGAATGCCACGGAGCTTATGTTGTTTGCTATAAATATAAATGGCTTCACTTGGAAAGTACCATCTTTTGGAAATATGTAGAAACTTGACAAGCTTGCACTTAATCAGAATGAGCCTGGGTATGGAAAACCTGATGACTTGGATTTCAAGTCATCATTTCTCAATTGTACCACTTAAGCCTACTACATCTGATTGAAAATAGGTTCCAAGGAGTTTTGCCAAGATTCATAGGCAATATTTCAGGGAATAGGCGATTTACCATTGGAGGAAATATGATATATGGGGATATTCCAACTGAGATCGGTGAACTTGTAAACTTAGAGATGATGTATTTGTGGTCAAACCAACTCACGGGTAGTGTTCCTGATTCTGTTGGCATTTTGAATCCCGTTAAATGGCTGTGGTTCCAGGGCTCAAATGCACCTCGAGTTTCCAGGTGAGACATTAGGTTCATGAACCAAAAACCTATCTCCACAGCTGCTCTACCTTCAATGAAATAATTTGTAGGGTACAATACCTTATACTCTGGGAGGAGCAGTTTATTATTATCTGTTGATTTTTTGCGCAACAATCTTAGTAGTTACATGCCTGAAGAAATTTTTACCTTCCCATCTTTATCAAAATTCTTAGACCTCTCAAGCAATAGTTTAATTGGTTTCCTGCCTTCAAAAATCAGTGGTTTACAACATCTAGTCCTATTGAATCTTTCTAAAAACATGTTGTCTGGTACTATTCTAGAGAGTTTCGACAGCTTCATAAGCTTAAGGGAGCTTTACATGTTTAATAACTTCTTTCTAGGCAATCTTTCCCCTATGAGTTCCATGAATAGCTTGGAAATCACATGTATATCTCACAACAACATCACGGGCAATCAAGGTTTTAAGAACCTATTAAAAACGTTCTTAAGGAACTTGAACCTATCTTATAATGATTTGACAGGTGAGGTACCAATAGAAGGAGTTTTCAAAAACTCAAGCCAAGTGTCAGTTGATGGAACAGTGAGCTTTGTGGAGGAATTCCAGATTTATAGCTCCCATTATGCTCCATAAAAGAAACTTCAAAGAAATCAAGAATCTCTCGTTTGCTAATACTAGTAATATGTACATGTAGCTCGGTCTTGGTGTTAATACCAGTGACAATCTCTATAATTGTTTACCTCCTCGCTGATTCGAGCTTGCACGATACTTTTGAGGCAATTCAAGTCCTCACATATTTGGGATCGGTGCATATTTTTGAAACAATTTCTTATATTTCAAAGTTTGACCTCGTAAATTTTGATATAGAAGAAAGGAATTATAAAGATATCTTCTATTATGAATCGATCAATGTACAATACGAATTGCATCCTATATATATACACAACACGTGAGAGCTGAAAAAGGTGAAAGAGAAAATGGTTATGAAAGGAATAAAATCAGAGGGAATATCCTGCTCCATAACAGAATCCATGTGTATTGTTGAACAAATCGTTGGTGACTCATCCTTCTAGTATCTTCCATTTTTACCATCAGGTAAAGGGTGCTGATCCAACTTAGCTTGATGAGTAAGATGCCAAGTCATTCTTCCATTGTTCAGCTTGTGTTCCAGCTGGTGCATCTTCATCTTTCAACAGCCCTCGCAAGATGGAGAGTATATATCTACTACTCCCATCTTGTCCATGCAAAAGTAGAAATTTGAGGACTTCAAAGCCTTAGTTAGAATATCTGCAACCTGAAAACTGGTATGTACATATTCAATGACGATGCTTCCAGCATGAATCTTATCCCGAATGAGATGACAGTCAATCTCTATATGTTTAGTTCTCTCATGGAAAATTGGATTCGCTGCAATGTAAATGGCTGATTTATTATCACAATAAAGACTACCTGCTTGACTGTGTTCAATTTGCAGATCTTGAAATAGGTATATCATCCAAGTTAACTCACAGCAAACACTAGACATTGTTCTGTATTCTGCTTTAGAGGAAGAGCATGATACTACATTCTGTTTCTTTGACTTCCAGGATACCAAACATGTCCCAATAAATACACAATACCCTGTCACAGATCTTTTTGTATCTGGACAGCTCCCCTAGTTCGAATCTGAGTACCCCTTCAGTTGCAGTTCAGAACTAGATGAGTAGAGTAAACCTTTTCCTGGAGCTTTTTTAAGATATCTCAGTACTTTATGTGCTGCATTGAGATGAGGCGCTCTTGGCTGATCCATGAATTGACTCAAGAGCTTAATTGAATAAAATATGTTTGGCCTAGTTTTGGTTAAGTACAGTAAATGCCCAATCAGTCTTCTGTACATAGAAGGATCAGCAACCAGTTCTCCTTCCTCTTTAGATAATTTAATATTTTGGTCAAGAGGAACCTTTGCTGGTGTCGACCCTATAGTTTCTGAGTCAGCTAGAATATCCAGAACATATTTTCTCTGGCAGATATGTATCCCTTATTTTGCTCTAGCCACCTTAATGCCTAGAAAGTATTTTACCTTTTCTAAATCTTTGATTTTGAATTGAGCATCAATTGTAGCCTTGAGGCTGTTGATAGTCTCTAGACAATTTCCAGCCATGATTATATCGTCTACATAAACCAAAACAACTACAAAAGATTCTTGAGTAGATTTGACAAATAAACTGTAGTCTGCCTTAGATTGAGTAAATCCATGGTGAAGAATGAAATTAGACAACTTAGAATACCATTGTCTTGAAGCTTGCTTGAGTCCATATAGACTCTTGCGAAGCTTGCACACCTTTGAACCATCAGTATTGTCATAACCTGGAGGTAGTTCCATAAATACCTCATCATCCAAATCTCCATGCAATAAAGCATTGTTTACATCTAATTAGTAGTGGTACCAATCCTTTATGGCTGCTATGGAAAGAAGTGTTCGAACAATGACAAGTTTTCCCACATGTGAGAAGGTTTTGTGGTAGTCTAATCCTTTTTGTTGAGTATATCCCTTTGCATCAAGCTTAGCTTTGTACCTTTCCACACTTCCATTAGCATTAAATTTGATTTTGTAAACCCATTTACATCCTATTGCCTTCTTGTCAGGTGGCAAATCAACTATAATCCATGTATCATTTAATTCAAAAGCCATAATCTCATTTTTCATGGCCTCACACCATTCAGGGGATTTTATAGCTTCTTGGTAGGTTCTAGGTTCACTTTGTGCAGTGATGAAAGAGGCAAAAACTCTATGAGAAACGGATAACTTGTTGTATGATATACTAGAATTGAGGGCAAAAGGTTTACCTGAGGAAACAGAGCCATTCTCCTTGTCCAATGTCTATAATGAGGGAAGTAAAGTAGCCTGCTGGCATATAAAATCCTCCAGGCATGCTGGAGCTCTTTCGATTCTGGTGGATCTCCTAGGTAAGTGTTGTATGGTTTGATTGTTCTCTCTATTAGATAAGCATTGGATCTGTTCTTGTCTGGTTTGATTAAAAGGAGGGTGCTCTGTATTCTCAGCAAGGTTTGAGTTATATGTAGTCTGATTTCTCTACTCTTCAGAAAGGTTAGTTGGCACAAAGATGTTAGGATTCTGAGGGAAACATAAGTTACTAGGATTAGTTGGAGCATGTGAGTTGGTGCCCCTGGTTTCTTTGTATGGAAAAATGTTCTCATGGAACACAACGTTCTTTGATATAATGATTTTATGAGTTTCTAAATCAAGAAGTTTATAACCTTTTATACCAAAGGATTGCCTAGAAAAGTGCATCTCTTGGCTCTATAGTCGAATTTATGCCTGCCATTGGTGAGAGTGGAGGCAAAGGCAAGACACCCAAAGACCTTAAGATGAGAGTATGTTGGTTTGGCCTGAAACAACATTTCAAAGGGACTCTTATGGTTTAGAAGAGCTAAAGGAGTTCTGTTAATCAGATAGACTGCTATTAAAATGCAGTCATTCCAGTATTTTAATGAAATACAACTTTGAAATCTTAAAGCCCTTGC